CACAGAACAAAGGAATAAAAAACAATACTGCATGTTCAGTTGATAAATATTATAAATGAAGGTGAAATCTTTATACCAAGTTTAATAGTGAATGAAAAATCCTTACAATTAAAAATAGGATGAGGAAAATTCAGTACATTCAGTTATATCCTTCAATCTTCTGCTTTAAAACACATCAAGAAACTAAAGCAAGAATAGCGCAACTGTCCCATGCTGCTGTTCACTAAATATAAGATTATCTTTCTAAGTAAGACTTTTCAACGTGCTGCTTTTTACATCTTCTAATAGCAGAAGTAACCGCTGTTCTTGGGGAAGAAAGAACTGAAACCAGCCAAACATTAAAAGTCATGATGGCATTTAGGTGTGAGAGAACGTTTACGCCTTAATTGCTTGCCTACTTCCCTTTCACACTTAATATTGGGGGTAAAGTTTGTTGAGTATTTTCCAGAGAGCACTTTTCACTTCTTTGTTCCTAAGGCTGTAGATCAAGGGATTCAGCATGGGAATCACCACTGTGTAAAACACAGAGGCTATTTTGTCTGTGTCCATGGACTGGCTGGAGTTGGGCTGTAAGTACATGAAGATGATTGTGCCATAGAAGATGGACACAGCAGTGAGATGGGAAGCACAGGTGGAGAAGACTTTCTTCCACCCTTCAGCAGAACGCATCCTTTGAATGGTGATGCATATGAAGAAGTAAGAAATGAGGATGACCAGGAGGGTGAAAAAGACGTTGAAGCCCACCACAAAGAAGACCACCAACTTGCTGACGCGCGTGTCAGAGCATGAGAGAGCCAGGAGTGGGGGAATGTCACAGAAAAAATGATTAATCTCATTAGAACCACAGAAGGAGAGTCTGAAGGTGCCTGCTGCATGGATAGAGGCATTGAAGAAGCCAGAGACATAGGAACCAGTAGCAAGGAGGGCACACACACCTGCTGTCATGGTGGTGGTGTAATGAAGAGGCCTACATACCGCTGCATGGCGGTCATAGGCCATGGAGGCCAGGAGGTAGCACTCAACAGTGGCAAACCCTACAAAGAAGAACTGAGCTGCACATCCATTGTAGGAGATGGCCTTGTCCCCTGACTGCAATGCAGCCACCGTTTTAGGGGCTACAGCTGATGAGTAACCCAAGTCTACAAAGGAGAGGTTACTGAGGAAAAAGTACATTGGAGTGTGGAGATGGGAGTCTGAGTGGATGATCACCATCATTCCTCCATTCCCAAGCAGGGTTATGAGGTAGATGAATAAAAATGCCAGGAGGAGGGGTATCTGAAGATTAGGGTCATCTGTTAATCCCAAGAGGATAAACTCTGTCACTTCTGTTCTATTCTCCATTGTGGTCAACTTGAATTAGCCTGGTGATTAAAGAAGAGGCATCAACCAAATTCAAATGAAAGTATGAGAAGGGATGATGGGATGATAAAAAAGGAGAAAACTAATGTATAGAGAGAACGTACTGTGTGTAAGACTCATGCTAGAACCCTCTGTTATATTATAGCTTTTAATTCATATGAGATAGGTGCTATTATGACCATCTTACAGACAAGAAAGTTAAGACTCAGGGAGCTGAATATTGAGCAAGATAGTCTATTTAACAGTCACAATCAAAGTTCACCCCTTTATATTTCTGAATCCAAAGTCCACACACTCATCTTGAATTCTTTAACATATTTACATGATATAAATACAAATTATGATATGGATATAAGATTGTATGCATTTAATTATTAAAAATAAAAACATCCATCACTCAATGTCTTCCACATTCTACTTCCAATAATATAGCCTCACTAAAGATTTTCTAAATTTATTTTTCCTTGAAACAACACAAGTTTATTCTCTCAAAGTTCAGGAGGCCAGAAGTCTCAAATCAGTTTCACTGGGCCAAAATCAAGGTGTTGGCAGGACAAGGTGGTGGTGCCCTCAAGGTCTGTTTGATACTAAATCCAAATATCTTAACCACAACTTTTGAAGCCTTTATAAATTAATCCCTCAACAGTAGTTCAACTGAAAGGGAGTATGGTATATTTAAATATGAGGATGTATTTAGATATATATTTAATATGGAACTATAAATTTGATATATACAAATGTTTTTGTGTATCTGTATATATGCATATGTCTTTTTTCACCCCTTATCAGAAGTCTGTTGTAGACCCTAATTACAGTTAAGTCCTCCTTTCTCCACCTCCTCAAAGCACTTGAGTCTTGGCTGATTATTGCACAATTAGTTGGGCAACCACTCACTCTTCGCCTAGCTCTAAGCCCCTTGGGACGGTAACTGTCTTCATCCTCTCTGGTCCACCCACCTTATCATGGCCCCTCACACACATATATAAATATTTGGTGAATCGAACGGAACATCAATAGGAAAGTATAGAAACATTTTTCACGCTCTTTAATTGTCCTCTTGTCTACCAGGCTTGTGCTTTGGGCCAAAATATTAGCTTAGACTTGTCGTATGAAAAATATTCAGGAGTAACAGTGAGTTTGCAGCTGGTCAGGCCTGGAGACAGGCTTGTGTCCTCATTTGAGAGCACTCTTTCTCTCCTATTTTTGTTCCTCAACCTCAGGTGTTCACAGGCTTTCCCCACTCCTCGTAGCAGAGTGAGTGGGAGCAGACTCAGAAGAAATGAGAGAGAAAATGTTAGAAGAGAGGAGGAAAAAGGAGAAAACAGGAATTAAAGGAGAAAGATGCTTCAACTCTGCTGGACTTTAGCTTACCTTGAAGAGTAACAGCAGCCATTCGATTGGTGACACAAAAAGAAGGGGATAAGGTAGCTTGTCATTTCTGGATGACCTTTACACACACACGATGTGGCTAGTTTCATAAGAACTGGCTCAGTCAGCTTGGTACATTACTGGATAGTACTTTCTGACCAGTAGCACTTTCCATTATATTTATCCAGCCTTTTTAACTTTTCTTTTGACTTCTGACATGTGTGTATACTCTCTCATTTTAGCAGACACAATATCCTGTAATCTATGACAGGCAGTGTTCTGATCTTACATATTTGGAAACAGAAGGATGTGGTGCCCCTTGAGGTCACATAACTACTTAACTGTAAAATCTGTACAATTCCAGAGCCTGATTTTTCAGCCTCAGCACTACTGACATTATGAGCTAGACAGTTCTGTGGTTCAGGGTGTGGTGGGGAAGAAGGAGTGCTGTCCTGTGCATTGTAAGATATTTAGCAGTTTCCCTGGCCTCTTTGTACTCACTAGGTTCCAGTAACACCACTACCTCCCATTTGTAACAGTCAAAAATGTCTCCAGATGTTGCCAAATGTCCCCTGAAGGGTAACATTCCCCTGATTGAGAACCGCTGTTCTCGAGTTTATAAAAAACAGTGGTTCTAAAGTTTATAAAACTCTTTTTGCATTCACTTCTTAATTATTGCATGACTAGATAGAGAGAGAGAGAGAGACAGCAGATATAGACATGAAGAAACTGAGGCTCAGTGAGGTGAAGTGACTGGTTTAAAGTCTAGAACTCTGGCCAAATATTGCTGCTTATTGGCAGAGGGATCCCAGGAAGGGATAACTGCTTGCTAAGTACTGTGGTCCTTTGACTAAAGAGATATTAGCCCTCCCATATTGTAAACCAACCTTTTCCTAGACACAAGGTAGGATGAAAGCCTGGAAAAACTCCAAGAATAAAATGCAGCTGACTTAGGGTGGATTCTGAATATTTTTCCAAAATACCTTCTTGAATGCTTATTAGATCAATTTCCTTGGTTAATATTGACCACAGGAGTCTATTCACTTAAGCTGTAGGTTCAGTTTTTAAAAGCCATTACACACCCCCCCCCCACACACCATATTGAACTGCCGCTGACTGCCATCTTCATCTATCAGCAATTAATCTTCAAGATACTTTCTGTGTTCCCGTGATGGGCAACCCTTTCCATTATGCATTGCAGTCTCTGTTAATAAATGTGTTGAGATCCAGAGCAGCAAGGAGAAATCTGGAGTCAGTGCCGAGAGAAAAGGCCTCATTTACCCAGCACCAACCCTGGGAGGCTGCAAGGCCTGAATCCAAATCCTGCCACTGCCGCTGCTATATCTCCTCCCACTCAAGTCCTGCAAAACCCAGGCTTTTCTGCATGGGCCTAAAATAAATATCGGAAGGAGTCTTGAAAGAGAAAAAATATCTTTAAAATATCTAAGGTTGAATGCTGAAATACCTAAGGTTGAAATATTAAGTCAAAAACTGAAAAAGCATTAAAAATTAAGAAATTATTATTGTTATAAAGAGATAAGGAGAAGTCTAAGCCATTAAGATAGCTTGGAAATAAAAAGTTCCATCAAAATTGCTTCTAAGGGGGTTTGAAGCATCACCCCCAGTCATAACAGCCCTGTCTGGGGAGTTCTAAAGAAGATTCTCAATGGAATAAATTCCATAAGGGAAGAGACAAGGCCTATATTGTTTGTCAGTGTTTTGTGCATTATTATCCATTACCTAGACTCGAGGCAGCCACACAGTAGACTCAACTATTTGTTAAGTGGATGAGTGAATTAGAATCTCCGCAGTTGAGTTAGAATAAGAGCTTTAATGCTTACTTGCTGTGGGACTGTAGGCAAGTCAATCTTCCTTTATAGACAGAAGATAAAGTAAGATAAAATAAAATAAAATTCAGCCAGTGTGTGACCTCTAGCAGGTGCTCCATAGAAGCTAATTAATCAATCTTTTTATTAAACTGTAGGCCAATCGTGTGAAGTTATTTCCCAGGTTTTGTTAACACCAGTTGGTAGCAACACCCCATCTAGCAATGACTATGGCAATGGCTGTCTAATTAAAGGTAACCCAGAATTACTTATGGGAAACGTCTGTCTCTATTCTTGTGAAATGTAGCAGAGGAGGTTGGGGGAAATTGAATGAAGAGTCTTTTTATATACCTACTTCCGAGCCTCTTTTTTTTTTTTAGACAAACCCGTTATTTCTACCTACAGTGTGAAGAATACTGCTTTTTAAAAAGGTCAGGGAAATCATACCTATGTCCTTGGGAATTACGAGATCTCAATTCAGAACTGCTTCAACATTGGACTTTTTGAAGTCTGAAAAAGAAAAGAAAAGAAGAGCTGTTGGTCTCTGAGGACCTTGGATTTCAAATAGTGAAAGATTTCCTGAGGCTATGTGATAAAAATGTAAAGGCAGTTCAGCTGCCGCTGCAGTTTGCTTGAGACTGTAAGTGAGCCATACCAAACTGTGTGAAAAGTCTGAGATCAGCTAGAAACTAGTGCCTATGTAGATCTGGGAGCCTCTGAAGGGGGGTTCCCTAAGGTCTCAATTCCAATCCAAGGCTCAGCAACATACAAACAAGCAATCAAAACACCACTTTCCTGAGGGAACTGAAACATTATTATGATATGGAAGCACCTCGAAGATCCCTTAGGGGCCACAGGGGAGTCCTGGTTCTTCTAGTCACAGGCTAAGATTATTGATGAGCAAATTCTGTCAAAAAATGCTTTCAAAGGAGCTTGAGGATCCAGCCACTGCACACTCAGCCCACAGATTTACTGTGATTATTGCAAGTTGGCCCTTTATCTAAGACTAAATGGGGAGAAATTTTCAAAATGTCAGATTATAAATGATAAATTTTATCAGAATCTCCATTTTCCCAAACCCAGCTCTGTCTACAGAACTCAAAGTTTCAAAGAGCTCTGTGAATCAAAACACTTCCAGGAATTTTTTTCCCAATCAACCTGGTTTTAAATGAATTTTAACATGGTGCCTACAAGAAGCGAAGGATTTCTCTATTTCAGCTTCTGATAAATTTATATGTATATAATATATTTATATAAAATATATAGCTTCCTATGTTTCAAACCCTTGGTTCAGTATATATTTGTATGTGTTATTTCACTTAATGTTCATATAACTCTATGAGAAATATATTTTCAATTTACAGATGTGAAAACTTCTGTATATACCTAGCACTTAGATCTTTTTCTAATATTATTCTCTAATAAAAGAAACCAGTGCTCCTTCGAGAAATGGTTGGTTCTAGCACTGGAGCAGGGAATATACCAGAGAAGCCTGGAGCATCTTATAGTTCCAGAAAGTGAGGAAATGCTCAAGTCTGTCTGACCCAAATTCTATATATTTTTACACTGTGCTTTACTGCTTCTCTTGGGAATAAATGTGGAAAAGCAAAGATGTTCTCGGAATCTAGAAAACAATATTTCTCTTAAGTTCTCACAAATGCCTATTCCACTACAGTCAGTTACAAAAGTAGAGCTTATTTACTCACTTTTTTCTTTGCTCTCATGAAAACATTTCCAAGAAAAAGCCCCCTGTTAGAAAAATTATTTTTAACAAAAGAAGACATATAAAGTGGCCAAGCAAGTGGCAAGCTAGGTGATAGGAGTCCAAGGATATTTTTGCACACTGTTGGAATTTTGTAGCATCTAATCACCTAACCCACATGTCCAACTCTGAAGACTTAGGTTTCTTCCTCATTATTTATTTGACCAATATAACAACCAAGGAAAAAACTAGAGAAAGAAAGAGGGAAAAATGGCTGAAGACAGATAAAGAGAGAAAGCAAAGAAAAGGAAGGAAGGAAGGGGAGGGAAGAGAAGAGGAAGAGAGGGAGAGGAAGAAGATGAGGAATGAAGAGAAAACTTCACCTGTAGGATCAAGACTCTAACAACTGAGACAATCTAGCCTATATATCTGGCTTTATAAAGTAATTTAGTACTCTCCTTTATCAGTGTTTAATATTCTAAAAAATTAAACAGATAAAAATGAAGACTATTAACATGGTGAAGTGAGGTGGTTCAGGGTTTTGGCAAGTAAGAGGCCTAGAATCAGCCACTTATGAATGGATAACAGATGAATCATTAATCTTTTTGAACCTCATCATTTTTTCATGGCACCAAATATATCCTCTTTCTTTTCCCTCCAAAGACTCTTAATTCCTGGTAAATACTTATGCTTTTCCACTTTGATGTCTCCAGCGTCTTCACTGTTTGGTCTCCTCACAAGATCAGTTTGACTCTTCACCTCCAAATAGTTACACCCTGGGGTTTTAGAAAAACTAAAAGGCAGAAAAGGGCCAATTCTGAATTTTTGATTACTTCAAGGCCAGATACCAGGCTCTGTCCATCCATATTTGAGTTAATGCTGCCACCTTGAGGCCTTCCCAAGCTTTTCACCTGATGAGCCGTTCCCAGTGGTGGGGCTGGGAAAATGAAGACTTGTCTTCCTTGCCTCAATGATCAGTAAGTTCATACAGGAAAAATGCTTTGGAATTACAGGAAGAATCAAGAAACCACCCATCTGCTTAAAAAGTTAATTTCATGGCCACATAGAATGTTAGCACCTCTTAGGACCTTGGAGATCACCTAGGTGTTAAGGTACACCAGGCACCCAGCCCACAGGTGACAATTACAGTCCTAGAGCCAAATGTATGGGTTCAAATCCCAGTTCTCCCTTCTAGTTCCTGGAGGGGCTCTTGCAAGTCACTTAGGCTCTCCATTCCTCTCTTTCTCATTATGGGACTGTTGAGAATTAAAGTTAATCAACATAAGGTACAAATAAACTTTGGAGATACTGGGGGTTTGGTTTCAGACTACTCCAATAAAACGAATATCACAATAGAGCAAGTCACGCAAATTTTTTGCTTCCTAGTGTATATAAAAAGCTATGTTTACACTATACTGGGTCTACGAGCATTATGTCCAAAAAATGTACATAATTTAAAATACTTTATTGCTAAAAAATGATGATGATCACCTGAGCCTTCAGTAAGTTGTAATTTTTTCTTTTGCTGGTGGGCAGCCTTGATGGCTGCTGACTCATCAGGATGATGCTTGCTGAAGGTTGGGGTGGCTGTGGCAATCTCCTAAAATAAAACAACAATGAAGATTGCTGCATCGATTGACTGACTTTCTTTTCTCTCCTTTTTTTCTTTTTTCTTTTCTTTCTTTTTCTTTTTTTTTTTTTTGAGACAGAGTCTCTCTCTGTAGCCCAGACTGGAGGGCAGTGGTGTGATCTTGACTCACTGCAACCTCCACCTCCCAGGTTCAAGTGATTCTCATACCTTAGCCCCCTGAGTAGCTGGGATTACCGACACACACCACCAGGCCTGGCTAGTTTTTGTATTTTTAGTAGAGACGGGGTTTCACCATGTTTGCTAGGCTGGTCTGGAACTCCTGACCTCAAGTGATCCACCCACTTCGGCCTCCCAAAGTGCTAGGATTACAAGTGTGAGCCATTGTGTCTGGTTGATTGACTTTCTTTCATGAAAAATTCCTCTGTAGCATGAACTGTTGTTGATAGCATTTTATCTATAGTAGAACTTCTTTCAAAATTGTATTAAGTCCTCTCAAACCTTGTCAGTGCTTTATCAAATAACTTTATGGAATATTTGAAATCCTTTGTTGTCATTTCAACAACGTTTACAGCCTTTTCCCCCAGAGTAGATTCTATCTCAAGAAACCACTTTATTTTCTCATTCATAAGAAACAATTCCTCATCTGTTCAAGTTTTGTCATGAGATTTCAGCAATTCAGTTACATCTTCAGGCTTTACTTCTAATTCTGGTTCTCTTGCTATTTCCACCACATCCACAGTTACTCCCTCCACTGAGGTCTTGAACCCTTCAAAGTCATCCACGAGAGTTGAAATCAATTTCCTCCAAACTCTTGTTAATGTTAATAACATGAACTCATGAGTCACAAATGTTCTTAGTGGTATCTAGAATGGTGAATCCTTCCAGAGGTTTTCAATTGACTTCACCCAGATCCATCAGAGAAATCACAATCTATTGCAGTTATAGCCTTACAAAATGTATTTTCTAAACAATAAGACTTGAAAGTCAAAATTACTCCTTGAACCATGGGCTGCAAAATGGATATTATATTACCAGGCATGAAAACCACATTAATCTCTTTGTCCATCTCCATAAAAGCTTTAGGTGACTAGGTACATTGTCAATGAGCAGTAATATTTTGAAAAAAATATATATTTTTTTCTAAGTAGTAGGTCTCAATAGTGAGTTTAAAATATTCAATAAACCATGCTATAATCTAGTCTTTTCCATTTATAGAGCACATGCAGAGTATATTTAGCATAATTCTTAAGGGTCTTAGAATTTGCAAAATGATAAATGAACATTGGCTTCAATTTAAACTCACCAGCTTCATTAGCCCCTAACAACAGAGTCAGCCTGTTTGTGGAAGCTTTGAAGTCAGGCATCAATTTCTCCTTTCTAGCTATGAAAGTCCTAGACGGCATTTCTTTCAATATAACGGTGTTTTGTCTGCATTAACAATTTATTGTGAGGCTGGGCACGGTGGCTTATGCCTGTAATTCCAGTATTTTGGGATGCTGAGGTGGGTGGGTCACCTGAGGTTAGGAGTTCGAGACCAGCCTGGGTAACATGATGAAATCCTGTCCCTTTCAAAAAAAAAAAAAAGCAAAAGGAAAAGAAAAATTAGCTGGGTATGATGGCTTACAACTGTAATCCCAGCTACTCAGGAGGCTGAGGCATGAGAATCACTTGAATCCGGGAGGCGAAGGCATCCGTGAGCCAAAATCTCACCATAGCACTCCAGCCTAGGCGACAGAGGGAGACTCTATCTCTCTCTCTCTCTCTCTCTATATATATATATAGTTTAGTGTAGTGACTTCCATCAGTTATCTTAGCTAAATCTTCTGGATAACTTGGTGTAGTTTCTACATTAGCACTTGCTGCTTCACTTTGCACTTTTAGGTTCTAGAGATGGCTTCTTTTCTTAAACTTCATGAACCAGCCTCTGCTAGTTTCCAATTTTTCTTCTGCAGCTTCCTTAACTTTCTCAGCCTTCACATAATTGAAGAGAGTTAGGGCCTTGCTCTATTAGGCTTTGACTTAAGGAAATGTTGTGGCTGGTTTGATCTTCTATCTAATATTTTCTCTGAATCAGCAATAAGGATATTTCACTTTATTATCATTCAGGTCTTTGCTGGAGTAGCACTTTTAATTTCCTTCAACAACTTTTTATTTGCTTTCTCAACTGGGACAATTGTTTGACACAAGAAGCCTAGCTTTTGCCCTGTCTCAGCTTTT